GAAATATTGAAGATCACTAGAGACTGTTGGGAATAACTGTATGCAAAAATGGATTACCTAGAAGAGATGGACAAAGTTCTGGACACATACACCTTACCACGATTGAATCATGAGAAGAGAAAACCTAGGTATATCAATAATAAGTCACAAGATTGTGTGTGTGCTGATGGAGCAAGCACACAAGTAACAAGATTGAATTGACAATTAAAAAAAAACTTTCATGCAAGAAAAGACCATGACTTAACTGATGAGTTCTAGCAACATTTAAAGAAAAACTAAGACTAATTCTTCTTATATTATGCCTGAAAATTTAAGAGGAGAGAATTTTTCCAACATCATCCTATAAGACCAGCATCACTGGGGTATCCAAACCAGACAGACACAATAAAAATGAAATCTCCACGTCAGTTTCCTTCATGAGCAGAGATACAAAAATCTTCAGCAAAGTGCTAGAAAACCAAGTCCAGCAGCAGATTAAAAAGACTATTCTTCATGATAAAATGGGATTTATTCCAGGGATTCAAAGATGGTTTGCCATACACAAATCAATAAATGTGGTATATCACATCAAAAATGAAGAAAAATCACTTATATGTGTGTTTCTCTGTATGTTGTCATATCTTTTTCCTATTGAAAAGGTCACATGAGTACATGATATTTTTGGTGATGATTCCTAAATATGGAGGTTTAACTTACCAAACAAATACACTATTAGGTGTAAGGACACAGATATCAAGGGTGTGAGTGTTGTCAGTGCTATGTAGTGTAGATAAGATAAAAGGGACAGAAAGACACTGTCAAGACCCCTGTTGTTTTTGCTACCTCATGGGCATCACGAACTGTTCTTTTATCTGGAGCCCTTCTTACATGTGCTACAGTGCCCTGGAGCCAGCCAATTATAGACTAAAAGCTCTACAAACTCTGAGCTAAATAAACCTTTTCCCCTTTAATTTTTGTTGTCAGATATTTTGTCTCAGCAAAGAGAAAAAAATAACTGAGAATTCAGTACCAGGAGTGGAGTTGTTGTTGTGACTATACCTGACCATACAGTTCAGGAGCCTTTGGGAATGATTTAGGAAAGGCTTGCAGATGCCAGTTGAAAAATTAGAGCTGGGATGCCTGGGATAGTACTTGATGGGAGATTTTGGTTGGAGCTCAGAAGACCAGAATGCTAGGAGAAATGATGCCATTAAAGACCTGGCTTTGGAGGTTTCTGCTGGGGAGAAGGACTTCATTGATTATTGGACTCCAGAAAATGTATGTTTTACCTCAGCAGGAAGTTTTTCCACATTTTGCTTGTGTACAGAGACTTTGCCTGGGAGTGAGATTAAGGGCAGAGGACTAATTAATCTTTCAGAAGAAGTTTCAAGGCAGTCTAATGTTCGGGTGGTGGCATGGCTAGTCTTGGATGCTTTTGGCCAGATTTATGCTGAGAATCAGGAGACAAACAGCCCAGGAGAATGACTTAAAATGTTATGAGTTTTGACAGAAAGGAGGCTCTAGTAAAGCTGTGGACTGCAAAGATAGAGCAGAGGAGGTCCTGATTATTGAGAAGGAGCAGGAGAATAAAAAGATGGTCTGAGGGTATCACAAGAAGCAACAGGACTACACCCTTTCAGCTTCAAAATTGCAGAAGTGAAAGACTTTGCTCTGAGAAGAGATTCCTAGAGTACCATGTTCCAGAGTGGTGTGGCCTAGAGAATTTGTCCCTTGGGGCTGGATTCACAGTGCTCACTGATCCAGGCACTTGACCTCTATAACTAAGAGAAAAACAAGCCTGCTTACTGCTGCAGCTGGTGGCAGATTTTGCCATCAACCACATGACCCTGGTTTTAGGTGCATGCAGAATGTAAGAGTTGTGGAGTCAGGAAGGCTTCCACTAAGATTTTAGAAGAAGGCCTGGAAGGCCGGGCAGTGTGCTTGAGAGAACAGTGTGTGAAGCTGTAAGCATAAAGCCAAAGGTGGATACCCTAGAAGGTTGGAGAATCCAGGAACTTGGATCATCCAAAGAAATCTGCAAAGAGTGAGCAAAGTCAGCCAAAGAAAAAAGCCACAAGAGCTACAACCACCAGAAGTGCTGTAAAGGCAGAGCCACCCAAGCCCTTTGAAGTTCACAATTTGCCACAGATTACCGGTGATGCTGGAAGTGGAACTGTGGAATTGAATGTTTATCCTGGTAGATTTTTGTCTTTGTTCTCACTCCTTGCTCTTCCCCTGTTTGTAACTTTTAGAATAGAAATGTCTATCTTGTGCCATTAAAGGTTAAAAGTGCTTAACTTTCTTTTCATTTAAACAGGGGCTTACAGCTAAGAGTTTGCCTTAAATCTCAGAGGCAATTTTAGATTTAGACTTTTCAACAGTGCTAAAACTGTGAAGACTTTAGCAACTCTGAGATAGACTAAATGCTTTTTTACATAAAGTGATACACATAAGTCTTTGAGGGGCAGGGGTGGAATGTTATGGCTTCTGTTTAGATAACCCCCAAAAGCCTCATGCAGTCATAGGTAGGGCTTTTTCAGAATGGCTAGATCTAGAGTGTGTTATGCTAAAATTAATTCATGATATAATGCTAGGCTCAAGAGCACTGAGATTAAGGGTGCAATGGTTGATTGTGTGAATTTGAGTAAGAGAAGATTAACTAAATTAGCTCAGCAACTCCACACCCTGGGGTGTGGGAAACCCACGCTAGGGTGGTATGCAACCTGGACGGTATAAAGGAAAAATAAAGAAGGAGGATTCTGCCTCTGTTTCTCCACATTGGAAGTCATCTCCTGGCTTCCAGCACAGACTATTCAGCTTCTGGTGTGGATCCTTCAGCCTTCTAGGATAGACTCTTCAGCCTTCCATTGCAGACCCATTGGTCTAATATAGACTTGCAAGGGACACTGCAGTGAGCTCCACACCTTGGACTAAATCCTTTGGTCTCCAGTGTGCAGACACCATTTGCACTGTTGCTCATTTGACTCTGGGTGGCCATCCTAAGACAATCTTGTAAATTCATACATTTGTGTATCTTGTGTTATAACTATTTCTCTAATAAGTGCTGAGTGATAGAAAGGGGTGTGAGTATGATCCACTCTAAGTAGTCTAGATAAGATAAAAGGGGCAGAAAGACGTTGTTAAGGTCCCTTGTTGCTTTTGATACCTTGTGGGTTCCACGAATTGTTCTCCTCTGCGACACCCCTTTGCCGTGTGTCACTGTGCCATGGAGCCAGCCAATCATGGGCTGAAACCTCCACAAACTGTGAATTAAGTAAATCTTTTCCCCTTTAACTTTAGGGTCAGGTATTTTGTCTCAGTGATGAGAAAAATAACTGACACTTAACATGGAAGTATAATTTACCAAAGAAACACCTATTTACTGTCATTGAAAACATGAACAAAGAAAGAAATAATAATAAATATGTGTTTTGGTTACTTTTTCTCTCATTGCTGGGACAAAATACCTGATGCCCAAAATTAAGGAAGGAAAGGTTTATTTAGCTCACAGTTTGTGGAGGTTTCAATCCATACTTGGCTGGCTCTGAGGCAGAAGTGGCACATGGCAGAGGGCAACCGTTCGTGGTGGCAGAAGACAGCAAAAGCAACTAGAGCAAAAGGAAAGAGTGGTGGCAAGCAGCCTCTTGCTCTCCCTTACATATGCAAACTATCTGCCCTAGGGCAGGTGCAGCACTCACACCCATTATCCCAGCATTAGATCTTGGATCAACCATAAACTGTAAAAGCCCGCCCCATGGCTACATGAGGATTTGGGGGGGCCACGCAGATAAAACCATAACAATATGCACTTAAGATCTTTTGGAAATACTTTAATAAAGGCTAATTCTCAACTTTTATAAAAATTTGTGTTACACTACAAATTAAATTTATGATTTTTATAAAAATTTAAAATAGTCCAAAAACACAGATAGAAGGAATAAGTTCTACTGTCTTGCAGTCTAGTAGGGTGATTATAATTCCCAATAAACTATTATATATTATATGAAATCTAGAAGGGAAGAGCTCAAAGGCTAAAAATATACAGAAATGAAAGGACAGGGAAGTGACAACTGCCTTGTTTTGATTAGTGTCTGCTGTTTTCTTTTTTTTTTTCTTTTTTTTTTTTTTGTTTGGTTTTTCTCCGGTACCGGGAACCGAACTCACGACCTTGCGCTTGCCAGGCAGGCGCTTTTTGCCGCTGAGCTAAATCCCCAGCCCCTGTCTGCTGTTCTCTTGTTTTGAGATGTACCCTGAACCCAGTAAACAGATACTGTTAATACTTACTTAATTTTAATTAATTACAAATATTCCCATTGTAGATGGAGGCACTAAAATATATAAAATTTTAATAAGCTAACATTTTGACAAATTTATAGTATGTTTTATGTTTTTTATATTGTCTTCCCTAAACAAGTGAAATTCTTAATATTAAGAACGTGGTCACTGATACTTAAATAATTGCTTTAGATTCTATTACAACAACAAACCCATTCCACATAGGCCTTAAATACGTATCTCCATATGTAGATGTGTGAGCTCCTTCATTTCTCATAGACGACACAAATGTGGGCAGTGCTTAAAAGTACTGGGCATGTGCATGTGAGTTTTTTTTTGTTGCTGTTTTGAGACAGGGTCTTTCTATACAGTTCAGGCTGGCCTTGAGCTCACTTTGTAACCCAGGCTGGTCTCGAACTTGCAACTATCCTCCTGCCTCAGCCTCCCAAATGGTGGGATTACAGGCATGTGCCACCACACTTGGCCTCATGTGAGCTTTGAGAGTTTATTAAAAAGGAGTTCTAAAAATCAGAATTCCACATTCATAGGTAAGTCCAACCTATTATTTTCAGATGTTCTTCAACAATTTTGGTCTGTAAACTTAATATATATAATAAAAATGGAATAAATAAGAAATTGGTGGGATAGGTAGGTAAATTTTTTATCTATCTATCTATCTATCTATCTATATCTATCATCTATCTATGTAAGGTGGAGGAAATTGTCTTGTGACAGACACTCTAGAACTAAATCAGGAATCCCACAGAAGACTTTGCTTTCCACACAGCCTTCTTCAAGGCACTCTTGACCTCCTTGTTCCTCAGGCTGTACACCAGGGGGTTCAGCATGGGGATGACCATGGTGTAGAACACGGACGCCATCTTGTCAGAGCCCATGGAGTGACTGGAGCTGGGCTGCAGGTACATGAAGATGACGGTCCCGTAGAAGATGGAGACTGCGATGAGATGGGAGGCACAGGTGGAGAAGGCCTTCTGGCGTCCTTCAGAAGACTGCATCCTCAGGATGGTGATGAATATAAACAGGTAGGAGATCAAGATGACCAGGATAGCAGAGAGGGCATTGAAACCCACCACTAGAAAGATGACCATCTCACTCACATGGCTGTCTGAGCAGGAGAGAGCCAGGAGAGGAGGGGCATCGCAGAAGAAGTGATCTACCACATTGGACCTGCAGAAGGAGAGCCTGAAGATGTTCCCAGTGTGGATGGCGGAATTCAAGAAGCCACAGACATAGGAGGCTGCGAGGAGACAAACACACTTGCTGGTGGTCATGGTGGTGGAGTAGTGCAGGGGTCTGCACACTGCCGCGTAGCGGTCATAAGCCATGGAGGCCAGGAGGAAATTTTCTGCAGTGATGAAGGCTACGAAGAAGAAGAACTGGGCGGCACATGCGTTGTAGGACATCATCTTGTCCTCCGAGAGGAGACCCGCCATCACCTTGGGAGTGACGGCTGAAGAATAGCCGAAGTCCACCAGGGAGAGGTGACTGAGGAAAAAGTACATGGGCGTGTGGAGGCGGGCGTCCAGCAGGATCAGCGCGGCCATGCCCAGGTTCCCAAGCAGAGTGCTGAGGTAGACGAGGAGGAAGAGGAGGAAGAGCGGGATCTGCAGTCCCGGGTCATCGGTTAACCCCAGCAGAATGAACTCAGCCACGGCTGTGCTGTTCTCCATGGGGAGCTAGGTGGTGCCCCGGGGCAGTGAGGAAGAAGAATCAGAGTGGCGGGCGGGGCACCTGCTGAGCTCTCTCAGGCTGTGCACGGGGTGGCTGATTTCAGCACTGCTGTAGCTCTTTCCACGATATGCCATAACAACAAAAATGCAACCTTAAATTATTGTTATCGTGTAAATTATTGTGCCAGATGAAGAAATTTGCATATTCCAACATCCTCACTTCTTGGAAGATGGAACTAACTACAGACAAGAAAATTTTATTAAATTTTGGCATGTTAATTACTAATAGCAAAGGTCGAACTTCCCTTTCTAAATTTCTAAAAGAAATACAAGTTGATTTTTGCATTAAAGTCAAATAACTCATAATCTTAGTCTCCTCGGGCTTGTGTAGCAAAGTACCATAGTGTAGGTAGCTTCTACTTGTATTTGAGTTTTCTGTTTTTATTTTATTTTTCGGTGCTGGATATTAAACTTACGGTCTTGTACACATTAGGTAAGTTCTCTCCAACTGTTTCCCTATCCTATGGATAGCTTCTAAACATCAATGTATTTCCCACAGATTTAAAGGCTAGAATGTGCGAGACCAGCAGCTGCAGTTGTGCTATCTGGTGACATCCTGCTTTCTGGTTTGTGCCTGTACATTTTTATTGTGTTCTTATCTGGTGAAAGAGATTATCTAGTTCTCTGAGATCTCTTTTATAAGGTCACTGACCCCAGTCCCAAGAGCTCTTCCTTCATTAACTCATCATCTTCCAAAGGTCTCACATTGTGACACTATCACCCTTGATGTTAGGATTCCAATTTAAGAATGTTGACAATACACAAGCCTTTAGACTATGGCACTTAGTGAAATTAATGCATAATTGAATTAGTTTATCTTTCCTGTCATGATAGTAAAAGTTATGTGAAACAACCTTGACCTAAAGCAGTCTCATGGAATGGTATGGTATATAGGGGTGTAACTTACTGCAGTGGGAAACTAATAGAAATTAATGTGCAAAGAATAACTACATGTATAAAAGAACAGTTTTTAGCTTTATCACCTTAAAGAATTTTTGAATGTCACATTCGCATGTCCTTGATACCACACCTTTAACATGGCTCACATCAGGGATCTTGGGACGCATACTCAGCTCCACCTGTGTGGTGTGTGTAATGCCACCTGGCCACCAATTACCCCATCAGCTGTTATCAGAATAAGATTACAGGGGGCTGGGGATTTAGCTCAGTGGCACAGCACCTGCGTGGCAAGCACAAGGTCATGAGCTCGATTCCTGGCACCAGAAAAAAAAAACCCCAAAACAAAACAAAACAAAAAATAAGATTACATTGCAAACTGGAGTTGTCTAACTCTTTAGATGTCATGATTCAGTCAGAGGGTTTGATGTACCTATGGTTCAAGAGGTGCCTCACATAAGGTGGAGCTTCTAGAACAAAGGCTTGATAGCATTACTCACCTCTTTTGCTTTCCTCCTGAACTCCTTTTACTTTCCTGTTATGTAGTTTCCTCCTACAATATTCCTCTCTATGAATGTGTGAAGCCATTCCACTTGTGCCAAGTATAAGAATCATTTTATTTTCTGAGTCACTTTGGATATAAACTAATCTTCATAGGGAATTTTTCTGAAGCCTGTGTAAATGCCTGTTATGGAATCTCCACTTACTTTTCCAAATCAACAATCTTTACAAAATTAAGTCTGAAATTTTGTCATTAAAATTTTTAGCTAAATAATTTAGACTAAACATCCTTCAGAGCTTGACTTATACTGTAGCAGGAAAGAGTATATCAAATCATGCATTTTAGGGGCTGGGGATTTAGCTCAGTGGCACAGCGCCTGTCTGGCAAGCGCAAGGTCATGAGTTTGATTTCCGGTATCAGAAAAAAAACAAAGGAAAAAAAAAAAACAAAAAAGAAATGGTGTTAAATCATGCATTTTATCCACTAAGTTTTATTGTTTACCATGAATAAGACACTGCCCAAGATACTACAAATAAAAGGGAAAACAGCACTTTCTATGCAAATGAAATTTTAGAAAGGAAGGCTGCTGTAAAATAAAATGAATGGTGGAAATATGTCATGTGTAGAGAAGCTTTTTAGGAAGCTGGGTGAGGCAAAAGTAAGGACAGAGGTGAGTGAGGATAGTTTTAAATACGACGGCGAGGGAAAGGCTCGTGAACAAAACTGACCAAAGCAAAAGCTTGGAGAAAGCAAAAACGCAGACCCTGGTTATATTAAGAGGAAGAGCACACTAGGTGGTAGGACCATAATGTGGTGCTGGGGTTTGAAGATGCCAAGAATACATTCTAGGGACAGCACAAAAATCAATATGATTTTTTTGCAGGGAGGAGGAAAGTTCAAGTGAGAGATGTAGTGCTATGGAAGCCAGAATGATCTCATCCTGTATTTTGAGCTCTTAACCTTTTATTTTGAGTCAGATTGGAGAGCATAATAAGACTGGGACCAAAATGTTACATAATCTAATGTATCTTTTAAAAATATCACTCTAGCAAATCTGTTGATAATTGAATTTAGCAGGGTAAGGATGACAGATACTAAACAAATAGCACATTGTACTATTTTAGGTAAAAGATGAAGATGGTTTGTACCAACATAAAACAAATTTCAAATATGTTTCAGAAGTAGAGTTGACTAGCCAGGTGTAGTGGCACACGCCTGTAATCCCAGCACTTGGGAGGCTGAGGCAGGAGGATCCTTGTGAGTTCGAGGTCAGCCTGGGCTACAAAGTGAGCTCAAGGCCAGCTTGAACTGCACAGTGAGACCCTGTCACAAAAAAGACAATAAATAAATAAATAAATCCTTAAAAAAAGAAGTAGAATTGACCAGATTTCCTAATATATTGAGTAAGGATATGAGAGAAAAACAAGGTTCGATGCTGGCTGAAATTTTTGCATTTCTACAGCATGATGTAGAAGGAGATTTTGGGGAAAGGGGAAACATAGGTCTTTTCATTGAGTTTGAAATTTTTTTTGGCCATATAAGAAGCTGTCCATAAACAATTAGATACAGAAGTCCAAAATTCAAGGTGGAAGGCCTGGATCATGTTAAATTAATTTGAGCTATGTTGTGAAGTTCACGAGATTCATAAATATACAACATATATGCATATATACATGCATACATACATATCAAACGTATATCTATTAAAGCCACATGACTAAATAAGACCATCAAAGGAGTTTATACAGACAAAAGTCAGCACATTCTTACTGTTACAAGTTTAAAAGGATACAGAGGTCTGGCAGAAAGACAGACATGAAAGAGGAAATTGCCAGCGTTAGAACTGGTGTCAAGCAAAGCTGTCTCCAGGACACAGATTTCAGCAAGAGGAAGCAGGCGAAGGCGACTTTCAGAGGAAGGGTTAAGTGTATCTTGGGTTATGCTGATAACTGGAGGAGTTCCGAGGACACAGCAGAAGAGTTTTAGGAGCTATTGGGAAGGCAGGGGAGCAAGCATCAGTGCAGAGGATGTGTAGAGATCTCTGGGCATTGTCTTCTGTGGAGAACAGGCCCACAAGAGAATCCCCTGCTTCATGGTGAGTGACATAGAAATATGCAGAATAATACCTACCTGAGTTCTGTGCATCTCAAGCTGAGCGCAGTGTTGGAAAGGCAACCAGAGAAAAGAGAGTTATGACAGATGCAAGCAGAGTTCTAGGCAGGAGTCCCTCCTCCTGTGAGCTGTGCACAGGTCATTACCCACAACGGGTGACTTCCTAATTCATGAAAAGAGCTGTTCAACTGAATGACCACGGCAGACACAGAGTTCTCAGATTCCAGAAAGAACAGTGCAACAGGAATCATGTCAAAACTTTTTACCAACTTTCTTGTTCACATGTCAAATCTTGGCTTTTTAATCCAATGTCCTCCTGGAGAAAGAAGGAAATGAAAACTTGTTTTAGTCAGTGGAAAATAAAAAACATTGCCAACTTCTTGGTCAGCAAGATGGTCAGCTTCTTGTGGATTGAGCATCCCTATAGCTGATGCTTGAGAGAGACTAAAATATTCAGTCTTCCTGGCATAATACTCTCTTTTCTACTACAGATCTCATGTATTAAAAGAGTAACAGAAAACTCCAAAGCTTCCTTCAAGTCTTACCCAAACCTTCGCCCTCAGAAACCACTATGCTGTTATAATTGGTGCATTATATCATTTTGTTGCTCTAAATTGTCTTACATTTTGTTCTCATTACAAATTTGTAGAAACAGAAGTCTTGATTAATTATGAATTAAGCAGCTATGGATATGTTATCAAGCATTTTCTATGTTCTCATCACCTAATTAGACACTATTATTCTACCTCATAATTTTCACACATCCTGTGAGATATTATTCCCATGCACAGATACAAAAACTTGAACTTCCCTTTAGGTTCATGCTGGGGACTGAAAAAGTAGCAGAGGTGAGATCTGAAGCCAAACCACTTTAAGTCTTAGTCTTAAATAATGAAGAAATATTATTTTAAACTTTTTATGTTTAACCTGAACGAGGCACAAGAAAGTAACTCATTTAATTGACTGATCATTTGATTGAGTGATTGCATCTATCACTGGGTATCAATATGGGTAACTGAAAACTATAACCTTGGGATTCAAATATGCCTGCCAGTTTGTGTGACTTTGTGAAAATAATTAACTCTGAGTTTTACTTGAACAAGAACTGGATCCACAGATATTCACAATTCAACATACTCCTGCCCCCAAATATTTCAAGTCCTTAAAGGGGACACAACTCTTTAGTAATGATCAACAAGCCACCCACAGTGCTGGGTGCTGTTTATTCCGCATTCTCTGGATGAGCGCTGGGTCTCTACGGTGCACAGATGTTTTGCTAATCTCTCAGTCTCCAGTAATTTAACGAACATATTTCTTGACCTTAGGAGGCTTCACAGACTGGGACAAACATGAAAACTAATAAATATGTGTTATCCTTCATCCTCAGAGAGAGAGAGCGTTGCTTTCTTATTTGCCCATAACGCTGGGT